GCCGCCATGAATCCCGAGTCCTTTACGCATAAGACCAACGAGGTGCTCTTTTCCGCGAAGCAGCTCGCGGAATCCAACGGACATCCGGAAATCACGCCCGCGCACCTCGCGCTGACCCTCCTCGAGGACTCAGACAGCATCTTCCGCCATGCCGTTTCTTCCGCCGGCGTGAACAACTACTCCGCCGGCGGCGGCGGCGGAGGCGGCGACGACACCGCGCAATCCCTGCAGCGCGCCTTCAAGCGGCTTCTCCAAAAGATTCCCTCGCAGGAGCCCGCGCCCGACGAAATCCACGCGAATCACGCGCTCGTGAAAGCGCTCCGCAAGGCGCAGAGCCTTCAGAAGAAAGCGGGGGACTCGCACCTAGCCGTGGACTCATTAGTGTTGGCTCTAATCGAGGATGCGCAGATCGCGGGCGCGATGAAGGAGGCGGGAGTGAACGTGACTAAAGTGCAGGCGGAGCTTGCTAAAACGAGAGGCGAGAGTAAGGTCCAGAGCGCGTCGGACGACTCGAATTTCCAGGCTCTGAAGAAGTACGGGCGCGATCTCGTTGAAGTAGCGGCGAAGCTCGACCCGGTGATTGGCCGCGACGACGAGATCCGCCGCGTCGTGCGGATCCTCTCGCGCCGCACAAAGAACAACCCCGTGCTGATCGGCGAACCCGGCGTGGGGAAAACGGCGGTCGTGGAGGGCCTCGCGCAGCGCATCGCGCGCGGCGACGTCCCGAGCAACCTGCAGAACGTGCGGCTCGTCGCGCTGGACATGGGCGCGCTCGTCGCGGGCGCGAAATACCGCGGAGAGTTCGAGGAGCGCGTCAAGGCGGTGCTAAAGGAGGTGGAGGATGGTGAGGGGCGGATTATTCTCTTCATCGACGAGATGCATTTGATCCTCGGCGCGGGGCGCACGGAGGGCGCCATGGATGCCGCGAATCTCTTCAAGCCCATGCTCGCGCGCGGGCAGCTGCGCTGCATCGGCGCGACGACGCTCGAGGAGTACCGCAAGTACATCGAGAAGGACGCGGCGTTCGAGCGGCGCTTCCAGCAGGTGCTTGTAAAGGAGCCGTCTGTAGCGGATACGGTGAGCATTCTCCGCGGGCTGCGGGAGAAGTACGAGGGGCACCACGGCGTGCAGATCCAAGACCGCGCGCTCGTCGTCGCGGCGCAGCTGAGCAGCAGGTACATCACGGGGAGGTTCCTTCCGGACAAAGCCATCGATCTTGTCGACGAAGCGTGCGCGAACGTGCGCGTCGCGCTCGACAGCCAGCCGGAGGAGATCGACGCGCTAGAGCGGAAGCGCATCCAGCTAGAGGTGGAGCTACACGCGCTCGAGAAGGAGAAGGATAAGGCGAGCAAGATGCGCGCCGCGGAGGTGCGCGAGCAGCTCGGCGCGCTGCGCGAGGAGCTCCAGCCGCTGCAGATGCGGTACCGGCGGGAGAAGGAGCGCGTCGACGAGTTGCGCCGGCTCCAGCACAAGCGCGAGGAGGTGCTCGTCGCGGTGCACGAGGCGGAAGCGCGCATGGACCTCGCGCGCGTCGCGGATCTGAAATACGGCGCGCTCACGGAGCTGGACGCCGCCATCGGGAAATACCAGAGGGAGGCGGAAGCCGCCGCCGCCGCCGCCGCCGCGATGGACACCAGCGGCGGAGTCGCGGCGCCCGCCGTCAAGCCCATGCTGACGGAAACCGTCGGGCCGGATCAGATCGCGGAGGTCGTCAGCCGCTGGACGGGCATCCCCGTTACAAGGCTCGGGCAGAACGAGCGCGAACGGCTGCTGGTGCTCCCCGCGCGCCTGCACGAGCGCGTCGTAGGGCAGGCGGAGGCGGTACAGGCGGTGGCGGAAGCGGTTCTCCGCTCGCGCGCGGGTCTAAGCCGTCCTGGCCAACCCACGGGATCGTTCCTCTTCTTAGGCCCGACGGGCGTGGGGAAAACGGAGCTCGCAAAAGCGCTAGCAGAGCAGCTATTTGACGACGAGAAGCAGCTAGTGAGGATCGATATGAGCGAGTACATGGAGCAGCATAGCGTGGCACGGCTGATCGGTGCTCCCCCGGGGTATGTGGGGCATGAGGAGGGCGGGCAGCTGACAGAGGCGGTGCGCAGGCGGCCGTACAGCGTGGTGCTGTTTGACGAGGTGGAGAAGGCTCATGCTTCGGTATGGAATACTCTGCTACAAGTACTGGACGACGGCAGGTTGACCGACGGGCGCGGGCGCACTGTCGACTTCAGCAACACGGTTATCATCATGACGTCGAACTTAGGAGCGCAGCATCTTATAGCGGGGATGGCGGGGGACGTGTCGATGGGAGAGGCGAAGCAGCTGGTGATGGGCGAAGTGAAGAGGCATTTCCGGCCGGAGTTACTCAACCGATTGGATGAGATTGTAGTCTTTGAGCCGCTCTCTCTCCCCGAGCTTCGGAAGGTGGCAAGGCTGCAGATGAAACAGGTCGCTGCCAGGCTGGCAGATCGGGGGATCGCGCTCGCGGTGTCGGATTCTGCGCTGGATGTTGTTCTAGCAGAGGCGTATGATCCGGTGTATGGGGCGCGGCCGCTGAGGCGATGGCTGGAGCGCAAGGTGGTGACTCAGCTGTCTAAGATGCTGGTGGAAGGGAAGATAGACGATAACTGCACGGTGTTTATCGACGGCGCGAAGCAGCAGCAGGGTCATGGGCAGGTGGGAGGAGGCAAGGGAGTGGCGGTGGAGGCTAGTGGGTTGCTGTTCAGGGTGGAGAAAACGGGTGGGGTGGCTGCTGAGAAGGCCAACGGGCGGCTGGGAGAATTTCTGGTGGAACCGGCGCAGGGGAGTGAGGGGAAGAAGGCGAGGGTGGAGGAAGAGGAGGGGGAGGTGGATGAGATGGAGGACTGAAGGGGAGTGGAGGATGTGAGGGGATGGGAGGTGGTTGAGTTTGATACGTGTGATAAGCTTGACAAATGAGCTGGACTGGATTTGCCAGAGAAAGTGATGGGTGAACCGTGGATGGGTTCGCGAACGGTTTTTTAAACTCAGGGATTTCTGGTTGCTAGATTGAGTTGAGGCATCCTCTTCCTTTTCTTTTTTGTATATAGCTGATCCTGTACTTGTAACAAATGTGCCCTGTTTACTTCTATAATTCCACCACTGAAATCACATCTTATTCCCATAACAGGGTGTGCATGCTTTCTTCGTCTTGATACTCCATAAAACGGGAGGACTTCAATACAGTCCAGTACCACCATGGTTTAATGAGGTACCTCAGCTGTAGTTTCTGCTGCCCCTTCTGTCCAGGAGGTTCAAGTTTGCAGGTAATATAACACAAGGGTCAACACATGTAACTAAAGGTAGCAAGGTGAGCGGACTACCCACCAGGAAGGGTTCAATAAGTCAAGCTCAAGGCCACATTAATCCCAACCCAAAGCCTAGTTGCTAGTGACCAACAGTAGATAATTAAGTTTGGCTACCAGTACTAGTAATTCCAGACATCATGGAGCTAAGAGCCTGGAGTACCTCCAAGATTGTTCCACCCACGCATCTACCGCGGATTTCACCGTTGTGCCGTTTATCGCGACAAACTCCCACGACGGATTGAACGTGTAGGTGTGCTGCGTGTTACCAGGTAAAAATGCTGTAAGGTCTGTCTTTTTCAGCATCAAGTTACGTACTGCGGTGTAGACGTCCGAAGCGGCATTCAAGACGGCTACACTTTCGGAGGGGCATTTTTGGCTGACCCCCACTCGCAATTTCCGGAAAGAGGGTGATTTTATCGCTGTGCCCGCCCGCGGAGCGGCTCTGAGTATGTCATCTACGCAAGCAGTGGCCTGGCCGATGTTTGGCGGGAGCTGGTTACCAAGAGCGAGGGATCGCACGTCGAAGAGCGATTGGAGGACGAAGATCGGCGATTTGACGAAGTTGAGAGCATACTGGGGGAAGAAGCAGCGCCAGCTCTCCATGCCTGGGAAGGCTGTAGTGCAATGAAGAGGGAGTGGGGGGAAAGCAAAACACGAGGTTATTTTGGGAGCACTCACTGCATTGAACACTAAAGAACACTTGATTTGCGGTATGGTATCTGCTGAATGGCAACCATGGGAGATGCTAGGAGGGGAAAGGGAAGCGAAAGATGAGGCGACGGAAAATCATGGGAATTGAGAGGGGAGGAGAAAGCCCAGCCTGAGAGTTCATTCCTGCCTGAGGGCGCGTACCCTCCCTCGATCGATCGCGCGATCGCTGTGAAAAACTGATCGGGCACACCGATCGCAGGATTGGGGTGGGATTGGTGGGAGGTGACAACAGCGGATCGATCTCGATCCCTGGGTGACAGGATCGAGAATACAAGGGGCAAAAAACCCTCGATCCTTCTAAAGCCGAGATCGGTGTGGCCACGAAGGCACATCGATCGTCACAGCGGAGGTGACAAGATCGTTGGGCACAAGTTACTGTAGATTCGCAAGCCTTCTCGAAATCTGGTTACCTTGTCAATCGCGACACTGTAGCTGTCCCTCGATCAATCGAGTGCAGGATCGATCGAGGGAGGGGACGCGCCCTGAGAGTTCGTTCCTGGGCTGGGGATGATCATCCCCCCCCCATGTCTCCCCCCCATATCCTTTCCCTCCCCATTCTCCACCCAAACCCCCCCCTCTACCAGGGTCCCCCACACCCCACTTACCCCGCTAGCAGCGCGGGTTCCCCAGCGACAGTGCAGTCCCACCAGCGGAAAGGGTATCACCCCCACGCGAGAACTCCCCCCATGTTCCCCAAATTGGCCCTTCCCCCACTCCCCACCCACTCACCCCGCTGACAGCGCGGATTCCCCAGCGACTGGTGCAGCCCCACCTGCGGAAAGGGTACACCCCCCCGCAGCATCCCAAACTATCCCCATGTTTCCCAAGTGCAGCCCCCCTCCCCACGGCCTACTCACCCCGCTGGCAGTGCGGATTCCCCGACTGGTGCAGCCCCACCTGCGGAAAGAGTACACCCCCTTGCAGTATTCCAAACTTTCCCCATGTTTCCAAAGTGTGCCCCCTCCCCACGGCCTACTCACCCCGCTGGCAGCGCGGGTTCCCCAGCGACTGGTGCAGCCCCACCAGGCGCTGCGCCATGGCGCGGAAAGAGTACACCCCCGCGCGGTCGGGGGAGTCTGCAGGGGGACGAGAGGGGAAGGAGGGAGAGAGCGACGCGGACAGTGGGAGTGGGAGGAAGGTAGGCAAGGGTTGGGTGTCAGGAGTAGCGAGGAGAATTGAGGGGCAAGGTGCCTCCTCTGATCTTTCTGCGAACAGAAAGAAAGAGCAAGAGAACTACACAGACGAAACAAGCAGTACTTGAGGGGAAAGCAGAGACAGCAACTTATATCAGGAGCAGGTGCAGAAGCAGGAGCACGAGGAGGAGCAGGAGACACACAGACATCAACTAACACCCCCAGTAGCTCGAGGCACGCAGATATGAAGCTTCAAAGCGTTTCAAATCGTGACGGATCGTTACGGGGGGATGACCGCAAACAGCATTGTGACAGGGCAGCAGTGGAGTGATAGGGCAGGCGCAGGCACGTTGAGTCAGCAGACAAGGGGGGTTCAGGTGAGGTAAGGGCAGGTCAGCAGGTCAGCCTGAGTCAACATGGCCCTTGGTGCAGGCGCGGGCACAAGCACATCAGTCACAGTTGTCAGACGTTGTCAGACGTCTCAAAAGCAGCTGCAGCAGCAGCGGCAGCGACATGGGGAGTTAGAGCAACATCCAGAGCAGGCGCAAGCGCGAACGCGAGCAGGCGCAAGCGCGCGCGCGCACTGACCAATGAAGAAGCCCGAGTTCATGAGGCACTTGGTGCGTCCGAGTGGGCGGTAAGAAGCAACATCAAGCGCAAGGGGAGCCGCGGAAGCGCGAGCGCGCGCACTGACCAATGAAGAAGCCCGAATCCATGAGGCACTTGGTGCGCGCGGCGGGCGCCATCTCCGCCAGCTGGTCGCAGAGCGTCACCACCGCCTGCCCGCCCGCGGAGCTCCCCGACATGATGATGTTCGTCGCGGACGTCAGCCCGCGCCGCGTGCGGAGATCTGCGGCGGTAAGAGGGACGCGCGGGGCGGGGGGAACGCGGGGTCGGGAGGGAAAAAGGGGGACGGAAGGGGGCGTGGGTTGGTGATGGGTGTTGCGCAAACAGCGGAGCGACTGTGACGCAGAGGGGGAAAGGGAATTGAATGTATGGGACCACTGGACTGGACCGTTAACAACACTATTCATGGAGGAGGAGTTGAGCTTGTTAAATAACTAATCATGAGTCCATGCAACACAACTCAACCTCAAACCATGATTTCAGCGAACAAGGCTGACCCATAAAGATAGCTTTGGTTATTCTCCACCCGCCCAGGTACACGATTAAGCTCGCGTACGAAATCTATGGAGTTCATCTCGCCTGTGAAAACAGTCAGGAAAAGTGACTCACCAGTCCGACAGAACGCTTGATGCTTCTCAGCAGTAACACTCACCCATGAAGATAGCCTTGGATATTCTCCAGTATGGAGTGATTCAATAGTCCGCCAGGGACTCACCCATGAAGATAGCCTTGGATATTCTCCATCCGTCTAGGTACACGATGAGGCTCGAGTTCACCGGCTTCCACCGCACTCGACCGGCGTACCCGCCGCCGTCGCAGTACACGAAACGCACGAGGTTCCAGTTGTGGAACGTGGGGTTCACGCGCGGGTCCGTGCTCAGGATGCCGCGCGACGACGACCTTGCGCCCGCCGCCGTCTGCGCGGAAAAGGGGAAAAAGGGGGAAGCGGGAAATGGAGGGGGAAGGGAAAGGGGGAGTTGATGATTATATGGGAAAGTGGGGTTCACGCGCGGGTCCGTGCTCAGGATGCCGCGCGACGACCCCCTTACGCCTGCCGCGGTTGCGCGAGGAGGAAACGGGGGGAGGGGTGGGAAAGGGGGAATGGACGAGTATGTGGAACGTGGGGTTCACGCGCGGATCGGTGATCAAAATGCCGCGCGACGACCCCCTTACACCCGCCGCCGTCTGCGCGAGAAAGGCAAAAAGGTGGGGTTGAGGGGGGAGGGGAAGGGGGAATGGATGAATGAATCGGAACGTCGGGTTCACACGCGGATCGGCGCTCTGTATGACGCGCGCGCGGGGCGCGGTGTACCGACCCCCGCCCCTTCCGCACGAGGGGATGGATGGATGGGGAGAGGACAGCGCAGAGTTCGCTGCTAGGCGGGAAGTTCTGACTACGGCGGAAGACGCAGTGGCCCTTGCGCCTTATCTTAACCCTCCACCCCCCTACCCGCGCCGTAATCCGCACCCCCCGAAGCGCCACACTCACGACCGAGTACTGGTACAAGGCGTCCGCCACGGCGGAAGCTGCGGAAGCGACTCTTGCGCCTTTTTTTTACCCCTCCACCTGTTCCCTCCCCCCGCGCCTTTACCCCCCCCCCCCCCACCTGCTCACCCCCCACACACTCACCACCGAATACTGGTACACGGCGTCCGCCACGGCGGAAGCGGCGGAGGCGGCCGCGCCTCCTCCGCCGAGCACTTTGGGCCAGCGGCGCGTGGAGCCGAACTCGGTCCCCGCGCGCTTCGCGCATTCCTGGACGGTGGTACACCACCCGCCCACGGGGAGATCGATCAGCCAGTTGTTCGCGCCGGTGCCCACGCCTTGGCGGAAGTAATACCCCGGGGGACTGCGGGAAAGGGGAAAGGGGGGGAATGGGGGAAGGGGAAGGGGGAAGTGAAGGGGAAAGGGGGGAAGGGGAAGGGGGAAGGGGGAAAGAAGGGATGCTGTAGGGGAGGAGGTTAACAAGTGTTAATCGCTTGTCGATTTGAGACGCAAGCTTAGGAGGACCATTCGAGGCGGGCGCAGTGGCTCGAATAAGAATGGGCGTTTGGGATGATGCGTCAGCATTTGAATGGAAAAAACTTGAGACGTCTCAACACTGGACTGCCTACCAATACTTTTGAGCCGTCTCAGAAGAGTACCGGCTGTGCCTGACATGCCTACAATCGCGTAAACGCCGTTGCTGCCCGCTCACCTGCCGTCGAGGCACTTGGCCTTGTACGGATTGTCCGGCAGCAGCGTCAGCGTCGTTAGCGGGGACGCGCCGCCAACGCCCCCCACCGACTCCTCTGTCCTGTGCGACCCCGTGCCGCCGCTCCCCGGCGTCTCCGGCGCGGGGGACTCGGAGGTGGAGGGCGGGGAAGGTGCGGAGGGCGCGGGGGTGCGCTTGCGCGGACTCCTTCGTGCGGAGGGCGACGGGCGGGAACTGGATGAGAGGGGAGGGGAGGGGGAAGGGGAGGCGGAGGGGGAGGGGGAAGGCGGAGAGGGCGCGGAGGTCCGGTGTCGTCGACTGCCTCGCGCGGAGCTCTCGGAGTCGGATGATGGGGGAGGGGAAGAGGAGGGGGAGGGTGAAGGCGGGGACGGTGCGGAGGGTGCGGAGGTTCGGTTGCGTCGACTGCTGCGCGCGGAGGAGGAGGGGGAAGGCGAGGAGGGAACGGAGGTACTGTTGCGCCGACTGCTTCGCGCGGAGGTCGAGGAGTGGGATGAGCGGGAAGAGGAGGGGGGGGGCGAAGGCGGGGAGGGCGCAGAGGGTGCGGAGGTTCTGTTGCGTCGACTGCTTCGCGCAGAGCTTGAGGAGTGGGATGAGCGGGATGACCGGGATGAGCGGGAAGGGGAAGGGGAAGGCAATGAGGGCGCGGCTGTCCGGCTGCGTCGACTGCTTCGCGCGGAGGTTGAGGAGTGGGATGAGCGGGATGCGGGGGATGAGCGAGATGAGCGGGAAGGGGAAGAAGGCTTGGAGGGCGTAGAGGGCGCGGAGGTACTGTTGCGCCGAATGCTTCCCTCGGAGGTCGAGGAGTGCGATGAGCGGGAGCGGGATGCGCGAGAAGGGGAGGGGGAAGGCAAGGAAGGCGCGGAGGTCCGGTTACGCCGACTGCTTCGCGCGGAGGACGAGGAGCGGGATGAGTGGGATGCGGATGGGGAGGCGGAGCTAGAAGAGCGGGAGGCGGTGCGGGAGGCGGAGGCGGAAGCGGAGGGGGAGGTCGGGGAAGACTTTCCCCGTTGAGACCTGCTTATGACAGGTCGCGATGACGAGGACGCTCCTAGAGAGACATCAACAGTGATTGAGACCGCCACGACCGCCACGAGCAGCGCTACCGCCCATGGCGACGAGAGGAGCGACGGAGGGCGCGTCATTATTGGGAGTTGAGGAAATCAACGAGAGACTAGGAAGCCCTTGGGAATGAATGATAAAAGAAACCAGGGAGCTGGTGGTGACGAGGAAGGTGCTCCGAGGCGAGGAACCTGAAATTCGGGTTAACTCAAAATACACGTGGAAGGCGGTCCGAAGCGAAGAATCGGACGACGAGTGTCGTGCTGATTTTGCAGCATCGACAGCTACGGTGACCGTGACGCAGTTTAGTTCGACTAATAGAGGCTAAGAGACGGTCGAAGACTGCTAGGCGCAGTCTTGCAGACTTGCAGACTAGTAGATAGCACTACGAGTACTGGCTCCTAGGCGTTCGCATAAGACGCTAGAGCAGAAGGCAACTGATGCCTGCTGGGCGAGCTCCCGCTTTCACACTGCAAGGAGCAGAAGCGCATGTGGCGTGAACGCCTGGAATTGGTCGGTAGGAAGGAACGCGGAGAAATGGGCCGAATAGGATTTTCGGATTCCTCACCTAGAACTGGACAAACTGACACAAGCTCTCTTGGCCGACTCGTCTCCGAGTCAAAACGCAACTCACTCCAGTCGGGGTGGACCGTGGAAGGCGGCGTTCTCGGTAGACTCGGCTAGGCGTGTGGCGAATGGTGTTGCTATGACCTGCCCCTGCCCTCTTCAAATCAGCATTTTTATTCCTTTGCGTCGTCGACATGTTCTTCAGAATAAGACAAAGATTTCCGCCATGGGCGCGCCACCACACACTTCGCGAATCACAGCTGGTGAAAGATACGAGGGAGTCGAGGCGAGGCGAGGATTGAAGGGGGAGCAAGCTTTGAGGTTGAGAGACTGATCGACTCGACTCGACTGGAGGGGAGGGAGGGGAGGGAAGAGAAAGGGGAGACACAACACAACACAACACACATTGCGGTACAGTACAATACAGAGCACGACCACTGCGCTCCGCTCCGCACCGCCTGCGGGGAGGCGGCATGGTTGACCGCCCCTCACTCGATGCTCATTGCTGGATCGTGGTTGGTCCCCTCGAGTCGCGGATTGATTTGAAACTGCTGGCGGAGGGCGCGACTCGCGGCAAACTGGGGTGAGGCGGAGACAGACTGGACGTGCAGGTTTTGAAAATTGCAGGCAAAAGGCGTACAGATCCATCCATGAATAGTTCAGCTTCACTCGTATGAATTACAATATTTGCATTAAAGAGTTATCATGTACATAGTATGTAAGGATTTACAGAATCCTTACTGAGGCACTCGTAAGCAAGGACATCCCGAGGGTCACGCGACGAACCTGTCCTTCCTATTTCGTCGCACCGAACCACCCCCGAGTCGCCTCCGCACCAATCGCATCCATCACCGAGCCATCCTCGCCCAACCTCCCCGCCTTGCTAGGACTTCCCCTATTTAGGCCTCGTCACTTCTATTGTATCGTCATTCAGTAATTCAGTACTCAACCATTCTCGTTATTCGTTTTACTGCGCACTCTGCAAGTTCATTCATAACACCTGGTATCAGAGCTACTTTCCTAGCCTACCCCGCTTTTTAGAGTGTAATATCCCTCGGGGGGGGGGGGGGGGGGGGGACGAGGAAGGATGTCCTGGGGTCCAGGAGTTGCGTAGGCCGGCCAAGAGAACGGGTTAGTTGCTCTTCGCGGCCATGGATTTATCGCGCACTCCTCGGTACCGCCGGATCCTTGCCTTCGACGGTCGGGATCGACCGTGGCCTCCCTCCCCCCGGGCAACGGACAGCTGAAGCTGTCGCGACATTGAACGTGAGTTATTTCCGCTGCGTTCCGACGATTTCGGAGTTGATTTTCGTGTGGCAGCTGTCCTGCGTCGGCATCTGCACGAAGATTTCGGAGTCGTCGTCTGGTGCGGCAGTTGGCGTGGTTGTTCGTCAACGTGCGCGCGAGATTTTCGGAGGTTTCTACTGTGAAGAAAAGGGCAGCTCGAAGAACTCGCCAGGCGCAAATGGAGTTTTGCGTCAGAGGATCCCAACGGCTGGGAGAGATAGACGCTCAAGCCGCCCGAATTAAGCGGGGGTTGAGCTTCATCCCGTCCGACCGGATAGTACGGCGCTTACCGTACTGGCGGGCGAGTCGTCGACGATTTTCGGTAGAAGTGCTTGTGGACAGACGGGAGCTTTGGACCCGCCGACACTTACGAGCTGCAACAGACAACGACGTGGCTGAATCGCACTTAGCGGGAGTGGGGCGCAGGCGCGAGGGCATATCGGGTCTGAACACCCGAAAACTACTCGTTTGTTGCTGCGTGCCTGGAGTTGCTTGCCAGCTGTTCGACAGTTTCGAGATCGGTTTCCCCGTTCAAGGAAGTCGATTTCGGGGACAGCCGCAGCAGCCCACGATTAAACGGTGTTCAAGGTGCTACCCCGACAATTTCGGAGTGTGGTGCAGGCCGCCGGGACACGCGAAAAGAGACTGCCCAACGGCTAAGCGGTCTCAATCACTGTTTGCTGTTTGCTTACGCGAGTTGGCAGGGGACACCGACGGATAAGACATATAGATGCTGTACGCAGCTGTACCACCGGATTTAGCGGAGCTCATTCGACAGTACCCGGACATCTTCCCCGATGATGTGCCACCTGGACTGCCACGCGAGAGATCTGAGGTCCATAAAATCCAGCTGGAACCTGGCGCGCATCCGACTGCTCGGACACAGTGGCGGTTGACCCAGCCGGAACTTGAGGAGCTGCGAAGTCAAGTTGACGCACTGTTGAGGAAAGGCTTCATCAGACTCAGTACTTCTCCCTACGCAGCACCGATCCTGTTCATACCGAAAAAAAGACGGCGGGCTTCGCATGTGCATCGACTATCATGTGCTCAACCGGGTGACAATCAAGTCTCGCTACCCAATCCCACGCACCGACGACCTTCTCGACCAACTTCGCGGCGCTCGCTATTGCTCGAAAATTGACTTGCGTGGCGGTTACCACCAGATTCGGGTCTTCGTTGATGATTGCCATAAGACAGCGTTTCGCACACTCTACAGAAGTTACGAATTTATCGTGATGCCCTTCGGCCTCACAAACGCGCCTTCAACATTTCAACTGACCATGAACAGGGTATTCTAGGAGCTCTTCGACAAATGTGTAATCGTCTACTTGGACGATGTGAGGAAATGAGAATGAAGAAGAGAGGAGGTTCACTAGCAAGCAGTTGAGTACATATAGCAAACCCTAAGTTGGGCTGTACTCACTATTGAGTACCCCACTGCAGGCTAGACAAACATAACATTCTGACACACCCCCATAGCCAAAGTGGGGTGTAATCAGCACAATGAGCAAGCAGGCATAGAGCAGGAGTTTACAATAGCGAGCAAAGCTAGAGTTAATCACAGCGGGCAAGTGAGGAGGAGGAGGAACTGTGGAGGGAGAGAAGATGGGAGGCAACGACTGAAGCTGCAGAGGCACGGGCACAGGAGCGGCTGACTCAGTGGCTACCGAAGCAAGGGCGACGGACTACTGGAGTAACTGGCTCCGCGGCTATAGACGAGCGGCAGGAGCAACGGACCCACTGGCGACTGGTGCAACAGGCTCACTGGCTACCGAAGCAAGGGCGACAGACTACAGGCGCTGCAGGCGACACGACAGCTACCTTCACACAACCTCCTCCAGCTGCCCCACACTCTCGACACACACCCCCTGCTCAAACCCTAGCTCCACTCCCACAGCACCCCCTTTAAACCCTAAACCCCAGGCTCACACACGTCCACCCCCCTCAAAACCCTAGCTCCACTCCCACAGCACCCCCCTTAAACCCTAAACCCCAGGCTCCCACACATCCACCCCCCTCAGCGACAGCTGCA